TTTTTTTTTCCCAAAACAAACAAAGTAAAAAGATGATTTATTATAAAGACCATATATTTCTGTTAGCCATAATAAATAAAATAAATAAAAACATAATTGTAGCAAATATAATATATAATTATTATTTTAATTTTGGCATAAACAAAAGCTAAATAATATTGAAGTAGAATTTTAATTTAAGATAAAACTAAAAACCTTTTGTTAGTCAACATTTCATTTAGTTCAACTTTGAACCTCAGAGGACATCAGTATTAAATGTATTCATTCATTCATTCATTAGTTTATAGCAGAACCTTTAAGATATAATATGCAGGTCAAATTCTTAAATAAATTCAACTCAAAACAATATTTAATGTTTATGGATTTATTTATTTATTTATTTGGTGAGTAGGCATGTGATAAGACATGATGTGAAAAGATTAAGAGATAATGTACAGTCAGCCGGTCATTATTGAAAAATACAAGTGATACAAGGGTGTTTTAGTGATGACCGGCTGACTGTACATTTATACATTATGTACATTTATATAGCCAATGTGCACCAATAATTCATTGACTGTCATGAAAAAGTAAATAGGGCCAGTTTACATTAATAAAGTGTCTAGTGACAAGTGTCCCAGCAATATAGTGTTTTCTTCGCTTTGTACTAAATCGTATGCTTCATATTATGATCAAGTTCCACTACTAGGCATGTATGGATATAGTCTGGTGGCGGTGCGAGAAGCAGGCTCCTCCGTTTCCTCCTGTGATATGAAACGCTGTGCGGCTCCTCACCTCTGAATTGTCACAAAAGCACTGACATCTGTGCCTTACAGATGGCTTGTGATGATGTTGCGGATTACTGACTCACTGCTCTGCTATGAAAGGGAACCAAAAGGAGAAAATTGTAAGTCCTTTCTGTTTGAATGAGCAGAGGGCCTTCTAGAGAGAGACAGATGTTAATTTATCTCCATTACCCACTCAGGGCAAGCCTTCTGAGGTACACTGCTCTGCAGTTGACTGCAACGCTGCTGCATGTATCCGTCTCAGAGGCGTTGAGGGCTATCTGACTAAGCCTTTCAACCACATTACTTCAATTCCACATTCATCTGCTGTGGTTAATTCAATGGTCTGATGTCACATTAATCAGAAGATTGCAAAGGTATCTGTTAGAACACCCCAGTTCGGATGTGTTGCATTAAATTTTTTTATATATATTTTTTTTTATTTTAAAGATTTCAGTTTGATTTTTTTGTTTTAAGTTCAGGGCTTTAAAATGAATAAACACCTTGATTATTCGATTTCCACATGTGGGTGGAAATTAAACTCCCTTTTCCGCTGATTGGTTATCCCAGTGGTTCTCAAACCTCTCCATGAAGTACCCCTAGCACTGCACATTTTGTATGTCTCCCTCTATCTGACACACCCACTTCAGGTCTTGCAGTCTCCACTAATGAGCTGATGAGTTGAATCAGGTGTGATAGATGAGGGAGACATACAAAATGTGCATATCTCATGTCAAAGCTTTTGTTTTAGAATTTTAAAATGTACATTAATTTCAGAATGCCTCAGTATTTGGAAAGTCACATTTTGCTTTAAGGATAGCAAAGCAGTCTTGAGCTCCTTAAGAAAAGATAAATATGCAGTGCAGAATATTAAATATTTACTCATTTAATGTGACTTTTTTAAGCAACAGTTCAACCAAAAATGAAAATTAGCTGAAAATGTACTCATCCTCAGGACAGTGGCGGTTCTAGTTTGTATGGCGCCCTGGGTGAACCACCCCTTCTGCCACATCTAAATGAAATCATTTTTTTCATAAATTTTGCTATTATATATTTAAACTATTTAAAACCAATACAAATAAATAAAAAAACAGAAATCCCTCCAAAACTGCACAACTGTACAGTAAAACATTAATAAATTATGTTACATTTGCTAAAAACAAAACAAGACAAACAAAAAACCATTATGTTACAAAATCACTTTACATTTTACTGTCTGGTTATGTAATCTAGACAGAAAAAGGATTGGTATTGCCCTATGTGTAATAACACAGCAAGCAACATAGAATAACTTAAGTGATATAAGCCTATTTTAGCGAGATGAGTGATAGCTGCATAGATATCCTTTATTATTTGCATATTTTTTTTGAGGTGACATAAAATAAAATGAAAATGAAATCAAAATGGTCAATTGCGCAATTACATTTAGATCCGCTCAAGCTGCTTCATTTTTCTTTTTACAGCTTTGCACATTATAACCAATCACACGATTCTGTTGATCTTATGAATGTAATGGCCAATCAGAGACATTTAAATTAGTCATCGCTGAAGCGCTGGAGTTGTGTTCAGTGCGCACACTCACTGAATTCCACACCATATAGTCGTGAATGGACTATATTCATGGTTACTTCCTGGTTTTAGATAAGCCAGCTCAGTCACTTCCGGTCAACTGTCAAAATTATCTTTCTCTACATAATCCATTCAGAATGAAAAGTTTTGTTTGTCTAAGAGGACCATACTGTTTACTACCATATACTCGCTTCATCTAGAAAGCATCTGCTTTGTACAAATATCTGATAGACATCTTGAAGATGTCAGTTTTACGTACATTCAAAATCATAAACACATTTTCTAAATGTCTATTTGACATCTGATGAGAAACGTCCTATAGACGTATTGCAGCTGAGCAAACACTCTAAAAAATATGTCTTGCAGATGTAAATGCAGACGTCAAATAGACGTCTCCGTGATGTACATGTGCTATCAGGGAAAACATTACAGCAGCATGTCTGTATTGAGTGAATGTATTTATAAGCTTCTACAGTTAAAAAAATAAAAATAAATATATATTTATATATATGTGTGTGTGTGTGTGTGTGTGTGTGTGGTTTTTAAATTAAATCTAATAATATTTCAAAATATTAAATGTATTATTATTTAATTGTTATATCATTAATAATAAACTTATTTAATTCCTAGATAACTGGTTAAGTATTTAAACTTAAGTTGCAGCGCGTTGAGCTCTCTCGGCCACCGTACTTATATCACTTAAGTTATTCTATGTTGCTTGCTGTGTTATTACACATAGGGCAATACCAATCCTTTTTCTGTCTAGATTACATAACCAGACACTAAACTGTAAAGTGATTTTGTAACATAATGTTTTTTTGTTTGTCTTGTTTTGTTTTTAGCAAATGTAACATCATTTATTAATGTTTTACTGTACAGTTGTGCAGTTTTGGAGGGATTTCTGTTTTTTTATTTATTTTTTATTGGTTTTAAATAATTTAAATATATAATTGCAAAATTTATGAAAAAAATAATTTCATTTAGATGTGGCAGAAGGGGTGGTTCACCCAGGGCGCCATACAAACTAGAACCGCCACTGTCCTGAGGATGAGTAAATTTTCAGCAAATTTTCATTTTTGGTTGAACTGTTGCTTAAAAAAGTCATATTAAAGGGGTCATATGATGCGATTTCAAGTTTTCCTTTCTCTTTGGAGTGTTACAAGCTGATTGTGCATAGATAAGATCCCTGAAGTTGCATTGACTAAAGTCTCAAAACCAAAGAGATATTCTTTATCAAAGTTAAGACTCTACCACCCCCCCCTAAAATGGCTCGTTCTAACACGCCCCCACATATCGTCACTATGTGGAAATATTAGCATAATGATGCCGAAATGTGCACGCAAAGAAAGAAGGCGTGGTTTCAGTAACCGCAGTTAGTGTTGAAGCAGCCATGTCAGGGAGACGCTGTGTGTTTCTAGGCGAAAGCAAAAGCACTTTATTTGGCCTTCCGAAAGTAGACGCATTTAGGAATCTTTAAGATTACTTACAACAGAACAGCAATGCATTTTATGGACGACACAATACACTGGGTCAGCTGGCCAATCAGAGCAGACTGCGCTTGTCTACATATTGGATGGGCTGAGTTTTTTTGTTTTTTTTTGAAAATAAAACTGTAAACTTTATTTCCAGGTTTATTAAGTAATGAATCCCGCATTTTATTTGTGGACTGTATATATAGAAGCCTTTAGAACATTACTGGAGTTGAGCACATGATTTATACACTGTAAATGTTTTCTGTTCAACCCAGCAGGTGCTTCTTTGGACACTAGCTATTTTCAATTGTTTGCCACTAAGTTCAAGACATGGATGCATTAGCCCTGCATGCATTTTAAAGAACAGGATGCAATTAACGGGTATACAAAAAGACTGTCCACCACAGCCAAAGTTCAGCGTCTGGAATAATTGCACTCTTAGCAGCAGCAAGCACTGCTGATCACTAATTACGCTTGTTTCTATTATTCTCCAATGAATTCAGCTAGAGCCCTAATAATAAATACAAAAGATGAAATAAAAAGAATAACTGTAGAAAGGTAATATAGGTGCTGTGGGTGCATTAGCATTAGACAATAACATTGCACAGTGCAGACTGTAGACTGCCAGATACAGCATAATACATACAATATACTTAGGAAAGTATATACAGCATAAAAAAAACAAAAAAGTTTATGCACAGTTACCATATGAGCAGTTATTGCAAATATAGTATACTGCACAGTGATTGACAGGTATTAATGCACAGGTATATTAACTAAAATAAGAGGCGCCTGCGTGTATGCTGGAAACACATAATTACGTTTTATAAATAATATCAAGAAGTGTGATTATGGTGCAGAATATTGATTAATAAAGACTTATTTTCGCACAGTTCCATGCACAATGCTATATTGTGACCTCAAAACACTTTTACTCTAGTGCATGATTTGTAAACTAATATCATTTGAAATTTGCATCACATGATTTACTCCATATATATATGGCTTTTCCAATGTTGTAAAATTACTCGATAGCTCACCTAGTACAGCATTACTCTTGATATGCAAAGCACTCGGGTACAATTCCCGTGAAACACAAGTCATGACAAAGAGCATAAGAAAAACTTTCAGCTCAAAGCAAGCTAAGGTTGCTTTAGCAAATGAATCATGTTTGCAACCTCATGTTTGCTTCTGTTAACACTATCGGTTGGGTTTAATGTAGAGTCTAGTTTAGGTGATATGTTATTTTCAAACATGTTAGAGCATTAACCTTTTAGCGTCACTCACCAGACATTTCATTTCCGAACAACACAAAATGTACAAGCAACATAATAAAACGTTTCACATTCATCTGTTTCAGATAAAACTGAACATGTTTTAGTGCCATTCACTGGACATTAACTTTAAAAGTGACGCTAATCGCGAAAGAAGTAATGTAATATTTTGCAGAGATCTCATCGCAGACACAGTTTTCCAATGAGCCTAGACTGAATATACCATAACAATGTTTAAATATATGTTTTGCTATAATCCTTTAAAAAGAGCAAATAAATAATTAAATAAAATCAAGAAAAATGTTCAACTCTAGGTGGAATTACTGTAAAGATGATTAACCTTAATGACTTTCAAGCCTATATGAACTGCACTGATATTCAGCTAATGAGCGTCAATGTACAGTAAGTCAGAGAGATGGAGTGAGAGGACTTCCAAGAAAAAAAAAATGGCATGGTCTGATGGCATGTTATCACATTCCCCCAGAGGCGGACAAAGTACTCAACTCCATTACTTGAGTGAAAGTACAGATACTGCTTGTCAAATATTACTCCATTACAAGTAAAAGTTGTAAAGACAGATTTTTACACAAGTAAAAGTACAGAAGTACTTGCTTTTAAAAGTACTTAAGTACCAAAAGTAAATTTCCTTTTTTATGTCAAACCCACATCTCACCTCAATAGCAGCAAAAGTGTTTTGCAATACAATATGAAGACAACAAGTACATTGTACTTATTTTTGATGTAAGTACATAGTAGTTCAGGCCACTTAATATAAAGTGGGACCAAAATTTTAAAAATGCTGTCTAATTGCTCTCGCTGTACTTTGATGTCACACAAAGAATGAATGGTCTGTGCAGTGCTGCTTCAAGTCCAACACCTATTGTGTTTTATTAGGAGACGCACAACAGTTCTTCTGTGGCTTTATAGGTAATATGTTCACTTACTTAATTTAGCAAAATCAGACAATATTGTGTCTAATTTCAAAGCTGCTACATAGTAACGACTTTCTACTTCGAGGACCTTGATAGAAATGTAGTGGAGTGAAAAGTACAATATTTGTCTTTCAAATGTAGTGAAGTTAAAGTCATAAGATCCCAGAAAAAATAATACTCAAGTAAAGTACAGATACTCAAAAAGTGTACTTAAGTACAATACTCAAGTGAATGTACTTAGTTACTGTCCGCCTCTGCATTCCCCACAGGCACAACAGAGACGAGGGACCAATCACTTCCCATCACCTGATAATGTTGCACTTGATAAGTGAGACTGTATCCAGATTGGAGGAAGGGAGAGGTGAGGGATTGTTTGTGTGTGTGTGTGTGTGTGTGTTTGAATGCGGCAGTAGAGGCTTTAACCTACTGGTGTAGCCCAGGAGTTTTTTTTTTTCTTTTCTTTTTTTCTCTAGACCACAGATGGTGTCAGCAGAAGGAATGGCTTGGTCTGCCAGAAGCAACTAGTAGTCTGGTTTGCCGCACTGCATTTATGTTGACCTATGGGCAAGTGAGGATGTGGTTGTCTGACCCATCTCATCCTCATTATGGATCTGTGATTGTTTGCATGGAAAAATGTCTGGAAGACACTTTTAACACATGACTGAACCGCAGTGGCAATATTCAAACAGGACGTTAAAATGTACACAGGCCTTTGCAAATGTATGTGCGTACATACATTAATTTGTTTGCATATTTGTGCATGCCTGTCAGAGAACATCTACGTCTACATCTACATCTACGTTCCAGTGCAATCACGTATCATCGTGCCATTTGCATTGCTTTGTTCGGCAAGCTTGTGTGGGTGTATGTACAAAAGACCACTCATGCATGCACAAACATATATCTAACTGGTTTCTTACCCAGCCTCTTTACGGCACACAGACTTCTGCAGACTCACGGTAAGGTTTTAGTACAGATGGCAAGGTGCATTATCATGCCAGGGAAATGCGAGCAATTGCTCTTTATTGCAGAGCAGATGCTGACTGCATGGAAGTGGTATATTGCTAACGGAATGGTAGATTGCCTCTTTTCATTGATGACAGAGGAAACATCTGTGGGACAGGGTATTTATGCAGGCGAGACGTGATATAAAATCACTCTGCCAGAGATAAGAGATTAAGGGCCTATTTGAAGCATGAACAAACGACAACAAAGTCTAATTACAGTTTGGATTAATCTGAGATTTAAAAAAGGCGAGTGTAAATCTACTAATTTAAAGGGACTTTTAAAAGAAAACCAAAGGTGAAGTGATGTGATCAGCAAGGGCTCTGCATCACAGCAGGCGTGACCTCTGTCGTTCATCCATAACTCAGGCTGCGTTTATCTCTTAATAGCGGCTTTTGACCTATTGATCTGAGAGACACATGTACTCCCCTCAATCAATGAGTCTGGCTGTAATATTGAGTTTAAAAAGACAGTGCTTTTTAAAAGGATAGTTCACCAAAAAATGAAAAATTGGTGTCGTTATTCACCCATTCTCATGTCACCCCCCCCCCCCCCCCCCCC